CAGGCCAATGGTCCCTGCAGGGATTCATTCCCTGCTTCCCTGGGGAAATTCCTCCTCCATGCAGGGACACAAAGCCCAGACATCTTCCCGGAGCTGCTTTCCAGCTTTGAGGAGGGAAGAGAAAACAGATCCTGGGTTTAGCCCTGGCTCAGCCTCGTGCCACCAATAACCTGCAAGGCTTTATTTTGGGAGAGGAGGGGGAGACAGAGGAAGGTTGGGGTTCAGGGATTCAAATGCCCCAGTCAAAGAGTCTTAGTGAGCCCTGGCTTGCAAACAATGCTGGGTGGTGACAGTGCAGATAAAAATCCGCCCAAAACAGGGTATAAACAGGTCCTGAGTACAGATCACAGGTAAAAAAGCTCTGTAGAAATGCAGATTAAAACCCAACAGATTCCCCTTCAGCTTCAAAATCCATATTGTGCCCCCAAACTTTGCATCAAGGGGTTGGAAAGGGAGGATCTTCAGGGTCCTTTCAACCCAAATCAGTCTGTGATCCTGAATTTTGTAAATGTTAAAAAAAAAAAACAAAAAAACAAAAAAAAACCAGTTCTGATGCAGGGAGAGCTGAGGTATTTTGGTTTCTTTACCTCTCCTGCCTTTTAGGGCACGAGCTGCAGCTTTTCCCTGGAATTCCCAGGGGAGGGTTCAGCAGCACGGAGCTGACACTGGATGGTGCTGTGGGCCCAGCACAGGTGAGCTCACCTGGCTGCCAGACAAATCCTGCTGCTCCTGCAACCACCAGGGGAGCCACGGGGACAGCCAGGATCCTGCGTTGCTCCTGCATGCAAATTCTTCTCAAAAGCAGATTTTACAAGAGCATTTTGTGCCCGAGGAAGGTGAATTTTGGGAAGTTGGCTCCTACCCAGCCACTGAGGTTTTAAACACCCTGAGAGTGACCTGTGCACGTTACCAGTCTGAGCCATTGGGAAACACAAGTTTAGGTTAAAAATCAAGTTTTAAAAATAAACAAATGTTCTGAGTTGGAGAGGACCCACGAGGATCATCGAGTCCAACACCTGAGCCCACAGAGGGACTGAACCCACAAACCTGGTGTTGTCAGCACCCTGCTCTGACCAACGGAGCCATCTGCCACTTTTTAGGGGCTTTTTGGCCCTTGATGCTTTCCCATTGTTTAGGAGGGAAACAGCTGTTGTTTGGTACTCTGGAGTAAAGCAACACTTAAGCAGAAGTTCAGATTTTGAAGTGTTTGCCAGATTTTTCTTCTGATTCTGGAAGGAATCTTTAAGAGAAATGTGACTTATTCCAGAGTTTGAGAAAATCACAGCTGTTACCAACCCAGTCTCATTTTCCCACTTTCCCATCAATGTTGTTTGATTAATAAGAGCCAACTTAGTGCTGAGCAACTCAGGAATAAATCAAACTGTAGAAGAGGGACACCAGATGTAATAAAAGCAGTTCCTGGAGCAAGGACATGCCAAGATCTGCTTGGTGTGGAGGTGGGGAAGGAATGGCACGTGAGATGTGTGTATTTTCTCTGCCACAGAAGTATATTTTCTTCTCCTGATAAATGCATCCAAGGCAATATAAACAATTTCAAAGAGCTGAAAGTATGCAGTGAGATGTTGCTGTGAATCACACACATCAAAGCAGAGCTGAGGCCCAGAAGAAGATTTCTGTGCAAAGAAAACTGGCTTTTCTTGTATTTCAAGGAAAGAAATCCTTCTGTGCTTCTCAGACTCTGTCTGTCCCTGCACGCTTGACTTAGATCAGTATTTTCACTGGGGCACTCACTAAACACTGCACTGGCATAAGAAAAATGCACTCAAATATTGGTTTTTCCTGCTTGCCTTTGAGATTATTTCAGATCAAACCCCTCTTTGGTTGGTTCCTGGGGTGGTTTCTCCCCAGCTCCATGCAGGTGCTGCCCCACCTGAGCTTTGTCCCAGGTGAGCTGCAGGAGAGGGGGGAGCAGGAAAGGCTTCAGGGGGGACCTGGGAATACCAAAAGGCCAGCTGCAAACCAGATGTGCCCTCAGAGAAAGAAAAGAGCAGTGTTTGAATTGAGTGTTCCCTTGGCCAGAGCTTTGGGAAGCAGAGCTGAGGGAATGCTCTGGAGCAGCAGGAGCTCCCTGGAGCCACAGCCATGTGAAGAAATCCCAATTCGATTCCCTGGAGGATAAGTTCCATTTGGAGCTGTGTTATCTGATGTGTCAGCAAGGACAATGACACAGATATTATCAAGTAATAAAATCTTTACAACGCAGCCCATGAACTGTGTAGATAAAAGGGGTGGTTTTGGGGTTTGCTCAGAAAAGTCCAGAAGAGTTGCAATGATTCCTGTCTTTAGGGCTGTCAGTTATTAACTTAATTAGAACTTTATGTATTTCTATATAAGAACTCCATAGAGAGAGATTTAACTCTGATTTTTGACCAGAAGATTCTGCAGATCAAGTTGAATTATATCTTTCTTTTTAGTAACCTTTGAAATATTGTCTACCTTAGACTAAAGCCATTGGAGTTCAAAATATTCCACAGTGGCTCTTAATCCAAGGATGATACTTCAAAGGAATCTGAGCAGTTTTGTGGCAGCCAAATTGAGAGCAGCCAAAATTAGTCTTCCTGTGCCTTTTCAGGATACACAAATCCAAACTAACTTAACAAAATTCAAGTCTTCTGGTGTAGCTGTTAAAAATCAAGATAGCTTCCCATTTCTGCTGTGCATCCCCATCCCATTTAACTGGATACCACTGATAACATTTGCTACAGGATAACTCATTACAGGGAAGAATTCTGGAGAAAGGAGGGAATTAAATTCCCAAGAAGTTGTGGTACCAGGTACATTTCCCCAGGTTTAGTTTTCTGTCTCTGTAATTCCCAGCCCAGACCTCAGCAGTCCCCCTGAGGTTCCCCTCAGAGATCAGGAACACCAGTGAGATCCAAACCCTTCCTACAGAAGCTCTGCCAGCTTGTTCAGTCTGCATGAATCCTTTGATTTCAGAAAATTTCTGGAAATTTCTTTTCTGGAGATCCAGCCACAATGAAGGTTCTCCTGATGGAGCGTTGTCACACAAAATAATTGAATTTTTTTTTTAGGGAGTCCCCAAAAGCAGGGGATTTTTGCGAGATCTGTGCCTTCCTCCCCTGCAGGTGTTTCTGTCTCCAGGTGAGCTCCTGTTTGTCCTGGTTTTTTTGGGCAGATCCACATCCCCGTGCTGTGTCACCTATGGAGCTTGGCAGGTTCATTTCTGTGCAATCTTTTAGCTCTGTCCAAGCCATGCAATAACTGAGCCCCATTCTGGTAATGAATTCTCTGCTCTTTAGGGCTGCAGAGCAGCAACACCTCAGACCAGACTAAACGGGCACTTAACAAGGCCGAGCTTACAGGGCTCCCCTGGAATTACCCAGCACATTAACGCTAAACGAGCTCATCCTGAATTCATTAGCAGTGATTACTCTGAGTAGCAGAGGAATTAATAATCATTAGCATTTCCTAAGGAGGGCTGGTTCAGGGCTCCACAGGCTTTCCCCAGCAAGTTCCGTTCGGGGGAGTCATTAACTGGAGCTCTGTGCTCACTGGAGAGTTCCCACTGATATTCTGAATCCGTACTCCCAGTTCAGTTTCAATCCAGCTCTAAAAGCACTTCAAAGCCGGGCACTGCCTGGTGCAGTCACTGCTGGAATTACCTCCCTTATCCTCGTTTTGTGTCCCAGTGATTCTCCCTGGCTTTCTGAAAGGTTAATAAACCTGAGAGGCTGCTGGGAGCCACCCAAGGGCAAGGGGACTCCACAGACAAAAGGAATGCAGAAACGTTGTGTTATTATTTTGTGCAAGCAAATTCTCAAAGTAAAGATTTCCAAGGCTTTGATTTGGCTCCTTAAAGCTCCCTCTGCTCCCAGCAGCATTTGAAGACTCGGCTGTTTTGCATTTCAGAGGCAGCTGACTCGGGAGGCAGAGGGAATTCACTGCTCACTTTGGATGACCTTTTCCTTTGGGGATGAGCTTCCACCAGAGTTTTACTTCTCTGACAATTTATTCCTGTTAGCTGTCTCCAAATGCCACACACTTGGAATTTACATCATGCTGGTACCTCCAAATGCAGCACTGAGCTTTTCTGCATAAGTGCTCCTTGTAATCAGCAGAATCATACCATGGGATTCTGGAATATCCCATCCATGTCTATATGGAGCTGTCAGCATTTCTATATCTCATCGTGGGACAGCTATCAATAGAATCTGATCTTTATGGACAGGGAGCATAAAAGCTCAAGTACTGTTCGTGTAATCTGATTATCTCCTTCCATTCACACAGGACTGGGCTGCTTTCCTTATCCGGTTTGATTTCTCTCCCAAGGTCCCTGTGGGGTTACTCTGCCGGTGGAATTGTCCCTGCAAGCAGGAGAGTTTATGGCTTGAGTTCATGGACCTCCTTCCCAAGGTTGTGCGGATCCTTCTGGAGCAGAGCAGTGATTGAGGCTTCCATGGCTGTGCCACCCCTGCCCTGCTCTTTACAGGTGGGGCCTCAGCACTGGGGTCCAGCTGGGAAAAGAAGTTTCCTTTTGTTGAATTCAGCAATCTTGAGATTAAGCTGAAGGAGTCTTAATTAACAAACCAAGTGTCAAATACGCTTTCAGGATAGTCATAGTCATTTTACAGCCAGTGTTAAATCAAAAGTGCAAAGGAAACCCTGGTGGTGACACCAGTTTCCCCAGGTCTTTCTCTGCAGAGCTGAGAACTAGTGCATGGTCCATTTTTATTTTACTTTTATTCCATCCTGAATGCAAACCCAGTGAAATCTTAAGAATAAAAATGCATCATTTTGTTGAAATCTGCACTAAAGGAAAAGGGAGCCTTTGGCCTTGATTCCTGCTGATCTCCAGGTTATTGGCAAGGATGCACAATTGCCTGATAACCTTGATCCTCACACAGGTCGATGGCATCGCTGTGACTCACGGGGGCCATAAAGTTCTGCTTCCAAGGGGTGTGGGCCAGGTGGGCTGAGAGCTTGGGCTGTTTTATAAAGCCAGGGCTCAGCCCAGCTGATCCAGTCTGCTCCCATCCAGCTGCTGCTCCTCTTCCCCAGGCTCATCCCAAGGGAACAATGGCATTCTCAGGCAAATACGAGTTTGAGGCTGATGAGAACTACGATGCCTTTGTGCAGAAGATTGGTGAGTCTGGCTGGGGTCAGGCACGGGGCATGGATTGGATAAAAATCCTGGGGAAAGGCTGGGAGAGCTGGGATTGTTCAGCCTGGAGAGGAGAAACTTCAGAGTGACCCTCCCAGGGCCTGAAGGGGCTACAGGAAAGATGGAGAGAGGCTTTCCAAGAAATGGAGCGACAGCACAAGGGGCAATGGATTCAAACTTGCAGGGTGTAGGGTTAGATGGCATATTAGGAAGAAATCCTTGCCTGGGAGGGTGATGAGGCCCTGGCACAGGATGCCCAGAGATCCCTGGCAGTGTCCAAGGCCAGGCTGGACAGGACTTGGAGCCACCTGGGATAGAGGAAAGTGTCCCTGCACATGGCAGGGGGTTGGATGATCTTTAAAGTCCCTTCCAACCCGAACTGTCCAAAGATTCCATGATTCCACGTGCATCTAGTTAAAGAGCAAGAGCAAATATAAAAGCAGGTATGTGGAGCTAAATAGCAAAGGCCCAAGGTCCCACACATGGAATTTCCAGCATTGCATGTGTAGGTTAAGGAGAAGGGAATATTTTATGTACTTTGTATATTTTTCCTGTGTCTTGTTTCTTAGGGAAAAGAATGCAAGATTATTGTAGCAAATGCATTAACGTACCAATATCTTTCTTTACATCAGTAATTTCAACTCAGAGCTTTGATGCTGTAAAAAAATTAAAAATAAGAAATGAGCAACAAATCAGATGCTCTGAGAACAAACACACCACTGCGATCCTTCAGCTCAAATTCAGCTTAGATTTGATAAACTCCATGTTTTTATTGTTTAAGGCCTCCCCAGTGACAAGGTTGAAATGGGAAGGAACTGCAAGATTGTGACTGAGGTGGTGCAGAATGGCAATGACTTCACCTGGACACAGCACTTCCCAGGAGGCCGCACCACCACCAACACCTTCACCGTGGGCGCCGAGGCAGACATGGAGACCATGGGAGGGAAGAAGTTCAAGGTAAATTCATGGAGCTCTTCAGCTCCCCAACCTCAGGGGATTTGGATTTAGGGGGAAAAGCAAACCTAGTGAAGGTGTCCCTGCCCGTGGCAGGAACACGAGGGGCTCTAAGGCCCTTTCCAGCCCAGACCATCCTGGGGTTCCCTGGTTCCATCATCACTGATTCCTGGGCTGCCTGTCAGGACTGTTTTCAGAGCTGTTGAAATAATGATGTTGAGATTTGGAACCTGCAGGAATTGGAAGATGAACAGGTGTCTTGTTTAAATTGTGAACATTCAAGAACTAAAGCCCAGGGATTTTGAGCCCTGTGCAACACACAACCTCTGCCTCATAAACTCCCAGCATCAGGTGTGCAGGTGTTCACACAGTCTGGAGACAGAAATTCCAGCATCCCCAGCAACATGAAACCTTCCTCTCTTACAGGCAACTGTCAAATTGGAAGATGGGAAACTTGTAGCTGATTTCCCCAACTACCGCCACACTGCAGAGATCTCTGGGGGGAAGCTGGTAGAGGTGAGTGCTCAAAAATCCGGGGTAGTTCATAAAAAACAAAGAAAATCTTCAAAAATTGAACTTTAGAATAAAATCTTAAGCGAAGGACAGGCTCTGAGCCATCCCCAGGGCTCTTAGCCTGGGATTTTGGAGCTCTGATTACACTGCTCAACCAAAGTTTTGGTTTGTTCTTTGTTCCAGATTTCTACTTCTTCTGGTGTAGTCTACAAAAGGACCAGCAAAAAGATTGCCTAAAGCAGCAAGGCCAGTCTCTTCCAGTGCACTGAAAGCCAACAATAAAATAAATAAAATTAACTTCTGTCTTTGTCTCTTTCTTGGTATTACAAACATCCTCATGTTAATGCTGACCCCATTCCTAAGTATCTGACAGGGGTGGAACAAGATGAGATTTAAGGTCCCTCCCGATCCAAACCCTTCTGAGACTCTGATTGTCTGCTCTGAGGGACACCAGCAGTGCTCTCTCTCAGAGAGGAGCCCTGGACCTTAAAAACAAGATCTTTTAATCACTTCCTGTGCAGACCAGATGCCTTTGCTGTTAGAACAGCCTTGATGGGGCTCAACTCCAGCTGACAAATTCCTGACTCTGAACTGGCTGCCAAAGCCTAATTCCATGAACAAGGATTGTGCTGGGGTATAGGGGAGGAGGCCCAATGACAATCTCCAGCATCAATGGCCCTTCTCAGTTCAGCTTTAGGAAATTACTGTTGGTTTCTACACTTTATTATAACAATGCAATAACCAAAGCATTCTGCACCAGTATTTGAGTTACATGTCCATGGCATGTTGGAATAATCGTGGAATATATCACGGGTGGCTTTGGGATGGAGACATCCATGAGGCTGCTGAAAGCCTGGTCAGTACCCTGTGGGTTTGATGACATCAAGGAAAAGTCTAAATAGCCCATGCAGGGTGCAATCAACTGAAAATCCCATAGGCAAATGTGGAATCATCTGATAATCCCAGACATGTCCCAGCTAAGGCCACACTGTTGGATTGAGGCCCATTTCCTATTTTCTCCCCTAGTTTCTCATCCTACACTTCATTGAGATAATCTTGGTCAGGATAAATCAAAAATCCAGTGAATAAGCTGTCTGTCCAGTAGGGATCATAGAAGAGCCCATTTTGCTCTGAGTAAAAGATTTGCAGCCACACCTCATCCTCCTGCTTCAGTGCCAGGATGGTGGATCCCGAGGCCACGTCGTGGTTCCCAGTGTTGGCATCAAAAGTCTTGATCCTGTACTGGCCATTGTGGACCAGGCCAATGGCCAGGTGCTTGTTGGCCAAGGTGATGTCGTAGGTAAAGTAGTAAATCCCTGGGATGCTGCAGATGAACTTCCCACTGGAAGTGTTGTAGTGGCCTCCCTCGTTCATCAGGATCCTGTCAAACTTGATGGGCAGCCTCTCCCTGGGGTAGCTCTTGGACACTGCCACAGAAAAGGCAGACTTGGCCCTGCTGCCACTGCAGCTGCAGGGTCCTGGCAGCCCAGGCTCACCCTGGCTCCCTTTGGGCCCTTTCTTCCCTGGAGCCCCCATTTTCCCGGGATTGCCCTTTAATCCCTTGGGCCCCCGGGGCCCTGCCTTGCCAAGGGCTCCTGTTTTCCCCTTCGGGCCTGGCTTGCCAGGGTTTCCTGTTTTGCCCTGGGGACCTGGAAGACAAATGATCTTATCAGTTTTTCTTATCACTTTTGAGGGAAAGAGCTGATACAGCAGGGGGAAGGGGGGTAGAGCATTGCAGCAGGGATTTCATTTAGGAGGAACCCATTGCTGGTGTGAGAATGCCAATGAAATCCCACCAGGGGCTGGACATCTGTCCAGACTGACCAGCCAGGGCAGGCAGGGAGCTGGTGTGGTAACAGTGGAACTCTGTCCTTCTTAAGGACCAAAAGGGTGATTCCATTATCTGGCTTTTCTTGAGAAACAGCAGGAATTAAAGAACAAGCTTTAAACGTTTGGGTTTTACAGAGTGGGGCAGAGCGCTTTAGTTTGAGCAGGTGAATATCTTTGGTCTCATGTTTTTTTTTTTTTTTTTTTTTTTTGCTTTGCTTTTTTTTTTTCTTTTTTACATTTAGCATGAAACTGCTTAAAAACAAGGGAAAAGTAAATCGAGATGTGGTTAAAACCCTAGCCCAGCCCAGCCCAGCTGGGGGATGAACCAGCAAACACCAGAGGCAGGAGCTGCCTTGAGATGGGAAGGGAGTTGGGCAGGCAGAGATTCTGGCTCGGTGGTATCTGATATGAGAGGATTTACTCCGTGTCTCTTGTCCTGCTGTAGCAAGAGCAGCTCGAAATGCAGCTGTGGTTGGAAATGTGCTCTCCAGATCGCCGGTTTGGGTTTGGGCAGGGAGGAGGGAGGAGGGAGGAGGGAGGCAGGCGCAGGCTGGGCTGGCTGGCGTTGCTGAGGCAGGAGTGCTCTCTAGTGTGGCAGAGGGAAATCACTGCTGTGCTCTGTGCTCTGTGCTCTGCTCCTCCTGACCCCGGCACGATGCAGAGCACAGCCCCGCCTCAGCTCCCTGCTTCCTTCTGGCCGCTGCCGGTCCCGTTACAGTGCTCCGGGCAGCCTATCCTTCCTTTTCTCAGGTTTTCTCCCAGGTTTTCCTGGGAGCAGGAACCAGAGACAGCTCCTTGTCTCCTCTGGAGAGCCCTGAGCAGGGCAAACCTCACTGTGCCACAAAATGAAGCCAACAGAACCTGCAGGCAGCTGTCAGGACACGATGCAGGTCCAGAACCCCTCGGATCACTGGGAGGGCGGCCAGTGGGAATTCCTGGAGCATTTTAGCTGTGAAGGGGCTGTTCAGCACAGCTTCCACCTTTCCACTCTTACCTGGAGCTCCTCTCTCTTACCTTCATCGCCCTGCTCGCCCTTGTCGCCGTCCTGGCCGTCCTTGCCATCCTTGCCCGGGAAGCCCATCCTGCCCACGGTGCCCGGGGTGCCAGGCACGCCGGGGGGCCCGGGGGGCCCGGGGGGTCCTGGCAGGCTGCAGGCCAGCTGGGCACCCTCCTGCAGCTCCCGCTTGCCAAAGCCGCCCAGGATGTGATTTGCCACGCAGGGCACGGTCCAGAGGAGCAGCGCAGCAGAGATCATGGCACAGCCTGTGGGGAGGAGATGGGATGTGGGAGCAGCCTGCGGGCACCACTGGCACGGGCTGGTGTGGAAACCTGCATGGAAATGGGAGATCCTTTGGCTCTCTTGGCAGGGTGGGGGAGCTGTTTGCTCTGGTGTGTTGTGATTCCAAGGACTTGGCTCACCGAGTTTTCTAGGTCACACCAATATTTTTATCAAATTTACTCTTCTCCAATTCTGTATCTGTGGCCATCCCTCATTTTGTTTTGCTCTTTTCCCCCAGGAGCAATGATGAGGGGAGCAGAAAGCAGCTGCTTGGGACCAGGGAAGTGGGAAAAGGAGAAGGGGTTTGGTGTGAACATGCCCAGCATGACCTGCCCGTGGTTGGGTCACTGGGGTTCCTTCAAAGCACAAAGGCCATCATGTGGAGAGGCTGGGCAGGCTTTGGGCCAGGCTTTAGTGCTTTTAGCCTGTCTATCTGAGCTGAGCCTCATCCCCTTCCTCACTGCAGCTCAGCTTTAGCAGCTCCCCAGTACTGTTATGTGCAGCTCCTGCACTGGAAATAAGATGCTTAAAGCACTGGTTAAATTCCACGTTGGCCTTAGCTCTCATCCTGCTCTCAGCTCCTGAGGGGTGGAAATGCATATTTAGATGCTCCAAATCCAGCCAGCTGATCCTACATATTTATGCTCAGTGGGAGCCCCCAGTTCTGTGATATTATAATTAAGAACACGCAGAGGAGAGGGAAATGCAAACCAGATCCAGGGCTGGATTTGGCTGCTAAGCCCTTTGGTTCTTCAGCTCTGATTTGCTGCTGCTGAAAGGTTTTGGTTGGACTTGTGAGATGGAAAACACCACCCAGTGTTCATGTGGAAAGCTGAAGGAAGGCTTCTGAGTTCATGGAAAGGGAAACAAAATGGTCAAATGCCTGTGGAAGGGGAGATGACAAGGAAAGCTGCATCCCTGCTTCCCAGGAACCCTCTAACAGGGCAGAGAGGCACCTGGAGGTAGATGTGACTCACAAGCTGTGGCAGGGAAAATGTTACTGTGGAGTTGTGGAGTATAACCTGGAGAAAAGCTGGGAATGCCTCACGTGGAGAAGAAAGGTGTGAGAAGGAGCAGAGGGTGGGAGGGCAGCTCCTCCTCTCACAGTTTCTTACCTTGATCACTTGTGCTACCTTGAGACAACACAGCACCTCGACCTGATGGGATAAAGTGTGGCAAACAAAATCCCCCAAGGTTGGGAGGTCTGTGGATAAATGGGAAGTATCTAAGTACCTGGTGCTAATTAATGGCTCCACAAGAACATTTCATCCCATATCCCAGCAACATGTGTGGGATCCAAAGCATCACCACATCCACCAGAGCATCTATAAATAACCTCTTCAAGAAGTCCTTTTGAAAGACAACAAACCTCAGGGTGTTCCACTTTAAAAGGAAAATTGTTCCTTGACGTAGAAGGTCTGATGAGCTCCAAAAAGCAAATTGGAAGCAGATCAGCATCTCCCCTCTCCGTGGTGTGGGCAGCCAGCCCAGCACAGGAGGCTGTGCAGCAGCAGGGCTGATTTTCCAATGACATTTTAACCAATGGCTTTGTCACCAGGGTTAGAGACCTTTGGGCCATGACCAATGCCTGTTGTGCATTAAAGAAGGGTTTCTGTAAGAAAAGATCCTGCCTGGAAGAGTCAGCACCCACTGTACTTTCTGCTGCTTCCAGGGCAGCTGGGCTGAAATCCCAGAGGAAAATCCCTGAGGGTTTTTTGGCCAGTGAAGCCATCCTGTGCCATGTGGAAATAGGAAACTGAGGGAATTGCTGCTTGGAGGGAGGCAGGGGCAGGGTGAGGGGACCCAGCAGTGAGAAAACACCATGATTTTCTTCTCTATTTCCTTTCAGTATTTAAGGCTTTCTCAAACAAAACATCCATCTTTCTTCCTCACAATTTCCTGGTGTACCTCAAGGTGTCTTAATTAATCTTCAAGATAATCATTATCCCCACGAGCCTAATTCTCAGCTCTGGAGGTGCCTGCATCATCCCCGGGGTGGAAGCAAAAGGAGCCCTTGGGTGCAAGGCTGATTTAGGTAAAATCAGGTGTGACAGCAGTGACACAACACCTGAAATGGGTAGATTTAACTGATAGGGACCAGGAAAGTACTTACACCAACAGGGGTTTGATCTGTCCCGTGCTGCTGCACAAAGAAATGGCAGAGGAGGGAAAGCAGAGGTCGCACCTTCTGTCCTGAACCTGCAGTGCTCTCTTGGCTTCGGGCACCGGGAATTCCTGTGCCAAACCTTCCCTTGGCTGGAGCAGAAACACCAGGAATTCCTGTGCCAAACCTCTCCTAGCCCCGAGCCCAAGCCCTTCTCGGCAGCTGCCCAGAGCAGGGACAGGCTGAAGGAGGTGGGAGCTCCCAGCAAAGGCTGAGGAATGTTTACCTCATAGTGTTATTTCTTTAACTGGCAACTGGTGCCTTTACGGATTCCTGTACAGGCTTTGGAAACCTGAGTGCTCAGTGACTTGAACCTTATTTGGGAAGTTTTCAAAGTGAAGGTTAAGAGGAGGGAGAGGCAGAAAAAGGAAAAGTTGATCTACTCACCAGCCTGATCTCCCCAGTGAGGTCCTGACAGGCACTGGCAGCTCCCAAGGTTTCAGGCAGATGTTTTGCTGCAGATCCCCAGCCCTGTCCTGCCACAGCAGGTCCTGGGAGGGCTGTGCAGGATTGACTTTGGTCCTTTTTATTCCTGTTTTACTCCTTCTAGTGCGTAGTTTGAGTTCCCTGCAGCAGCTCCACTTTGGCTCCACGCTGCCAAAGGCATATTTTTATTATTGTGTAATGGATCTGTGCCTCTTCCTCGGTCACGTGGCAAGGGAAGAGATTTTTACACACATGTGGCTGGAAAGCTCTTGATGCTTGGGGAGCTTTTCCCTTTCTTCCTCTCCCTCACAGTCCTGCAGGAAAGGCTCAGGGGCTGCCTGGATCATTTCTGATTGATGCTGCCCCTCTCTGCTGTAGTTGCTGCCCACAGGGAATGGGTAATGCTGATCCAGCTGTAGAACAAGATTGACACTTTATCCTGGAGCATTAAGGGGAAGAAAATCTTCTCCTAGAAGTGGAAACTCACTTGAATCACTCCGGGCTTGAATTTAAGGACAAAGTCATGAAGCAGCAGCTCTGCAAATGCAAATTAGTACCTCAGCACTTTCTCAGGCTGATATGCACTACAAAACACAACTTTGTCATAGGGATGGCAGGGCAGGAACACTCCTGTCTTGGGAAAGGGTTGGGATTTTGGTTTGAGTTTGGAAAGTAATTACAAACCCTCAACAATTGCTTCAGGTAAGGCAGGAGCAGCAGCTGAGGCTGGAGCAGGATGCTCTGGGATGCTGCCAGGGCTGTATTGACCCTAATCTAATCTTTGGCTGTGGGTTCCTGCTCTGGCCCCTCCAGGATCTCACACAGGCTGTGGGACAGGTGTGTGCCTGGTGACAGGGCTCCAAACCTGCCCTGCAGCCAGTGAATCCTTTCTGCTCAGTGCAGAACATCAGCTGATCAGGAGAATTTCATTCCAGGGAGTTGTCATTCCTTGCTCCACCCAAATTCAGCCTTGTCAGAGCTGTCGTGGTTTATTTTTAAGCTTTCCCCCGTGCTTGCTTTTGGCACTTGGTGGGAAAGGATCTAACATAAAAATGAAGTCTGTACACAGTTGGCTTTGTGAGCTGGGGCCAGTTTAGATGCTCCTGGGAACGTTTGGCTGAGGAAGCACAGGGCTGTTTTCGTGCTGTGCTGACAGTCCCACAGAGCTCCTGCAGAGCCAGCTCCCTGACACTGAGCAACCTCCAGGAGAACAACCCCCCTTCCCAAACCCGTGCAATCGTTGCATTTGCATTTCCCTGGGAAAAGGCTGCTGTAGAAAAGCTGGCTCACCTCTGGCACTGGGGTGAGCACAGCTGGGACAGACCCAGACACTGCTCTGGATATTGGTCACATAGAAATTCTCATTTGTTGCCTGTTTGCAAGAAGTTTGTAAGAACCCAGATCTCCTGCTGGGCCCCTCTGCCTGGGTGTGAGCCAAAAAGCTCAAGGCATTGCATGTGAAATAAAAACCAGGTGAAAGCTTCCCCCAGGCTTTGCTGTGGTGCCAGTCAGATGGGCCTGGGAAGCCACAGTGGTTTCCTCACACACTGATGGTGTGGAAAAGGAAAAGCTCTTCTGCTGATCCTGCTCCTACCCCATGGCATCTGTGTGTGGGATGGGTGTGACATGGGCCAGGGATGAGAGGATGCTTGGACACAGCAATCCTGCCAGGCAGCTCCAGGCAGGAGCAGGGAATTCACAGTTCAGGGTGATTTTGTGCCCAGGTCTGCAGCATGGGGAAGGCAGAGGAGCCTGACCTAGTTCAGTCAGCAACGTGGGGAGAAACTGCTGGGAAGCTCCTGCCAGGCAGATGGAAAATCTGTCTGTGCTGCACACCCAGGCCAGGCTGCATCGGGGTCCCAGACAGCTCTGCTGAGAACACTTGGCAGCACAGTTTGTTAAATAAACAAACTGCACAGAGAATCAGAGCAGCCTGAGACTCGTGTCAGTGCTTTTTGTGTCAGTGAGACACTGCAGGGGACATCATAGCAGACCTTGTCCCCTCTGTGCTGACTGCTGTGGTGTCCCCAGGGAAGGGGGCTGGCTCAGGGACAGGTGTGGGCTGGGGGTGCAGTCCCTGCTCAGGATGCTCTCCCTGGAGTGGAACAACTCAAACAATGCCCTGCTCAAAAAGCTGTCAGTGAGTGGAGAAGGGGCTCATGCTACTTTTGGGGTGAATAATGCTAAAACTAGCCTAACACATTAAACATCCTGAAAGTGAGGTGAAAATGTGGCAGATAATAAAGTGCCTGATAGAGGAACAAACAAGTGATGGTAGTGACACCTTACCCAAAGGTGAGCTGGCACAGACACATCTGACTGACAGCCCAGGCCCACTGTTGAACAGAGGTTTTCCAACACACCCCTCAAGGCCACTCCTCATGCCTAAGCCAAAGAGATTTGCCCACAGTGCTTGATCTGGATGAGTAACACCATTCTCTAGTTAATGCTTCTTGCTATTTTTAGTATAATTGCCTCAATATAACTGCTTTAATATAAATGCTTCAATAATAGTACACTGTACTATACTAGCAGTTCTGGCTACTCATACTAGGTTGCAAATAATTCTGTTTAAGGCCTTTTTAGTTTTATCATTAGCATGATAAATCATTTATTTATTTATAAATATATCTGCTTTGCCATCCTTAATCCTGCAGGACAAAGTCACCTAAAGGTTCAATCACCTTTTGCTCTTGCTGTGCACTTGCTGTGAGGGAGAAGTGGGAGTGCCTAAATGTGGATGACCATCAGTTCCCAGCTCAGGACAGGGCTGTGTCCCAGCCTGGAAGGATTTCCCCTTGTTTACCTTCTAAGCTCTCACTGGTTTCATTGTTAACTACTGACCCTGCAGCCACGACTTTGTAACCAAATAAAATGATTCAGCAAAAGGCAGAAGAACTGAAATTCACCCCGAGGCTGGAAGCAGCCTAAAACCCAGCAATAACAATGGAAATGTGCCTCACCAAAGAGGAGTGTCAGTGCTTCGGGGTTTTGGGGAGATACTAATGGGAAGGAAGAAGCATTTTTCCACCCAACAAACCTCCAGTCTTAGTGTGGGATGGTGATTTGAGTAATTTTTATTGCCCTGCATAAAAGCAGTTTGGAAGTCTGTAAGCAGCCTACAGAGAGTGATTGTCCCTCTCCAAAAGCCCCCATAAAAATGAGTCAAAACCCTGTTTAAACTTAAAGGATGCCCTTGAGACCATTAGCTCTGCTTAGGAGCTGCAGCCCTGACCCATTAAGATAAAAATAAATAGAGCTTATTTTGGGAAGACGGAAGTGGGAACCAGTTCAATCACCAGTGAGCCACTGCCAGCACTGAGCAGATGCTGTAAAGTTTGGGGTTGTTGCTTTTTGTTCCATGTACCTTTTAAAATTCAGTAAATTCTGTAACTCAAAGTAAATTCAGCAACCTTTTTGACTCGCTACAATTAGTCTCCACCTTAATACCAAGTGACATAGTTAGACAAGGGAGGATTTCTGAAAATACCTTGTATTTCTCAATTACAAAAAACCTCCTGCACTCCTGCTCTGGAGTCTGCAGCATCAGACCTGCACCTTAACCATATCCAATAGTAATGTAAAATAAACAAGACACCAGCAAAATGAGAAACAATTTCCCTACTCCTACCTTAAAGCTCCAGCTGAACCCCATGGCAGAGATCCTGCAAGAAGGACCAGAACTGTTATTTTATTTAGGAGCAATAAAAAAATTTCTGAAAACATAATTCCCAGCTGGTGTGCAGCAAGTTACCTCAAACATCACCTCAGGCAGCAAACAGGGCAGGTAACACCAGCAGGCTCTCCATTTTTCTCAATTTTTGATTCTTCAGGGCTTTCTTTGCTCTCCAGCTTGTAAACAAGAGCTTGTCAGGCAGGAAAATACACCAGGGAAGCTGAAAGAGAAAATAACGAGCTTGGCAAACTCAGCTTTCCACAGCAGCACACCAAGGCAAGAGGGAGAACATCTGCTATAACCCCTAAATTAAGCTACCTGTAAGATGCTCTCAAAGCAGCCTCAAACCTTCTTCCTTAACAAAACCCACAACATTTTACCCAGTGAGCAGCTGGGGGCTAAGTTATTCAGCTCAGAGCTGGTGAAAACTACTCTCACATGGAGAGAAGCCAAAGGCGAAGAGCAGTAATATTTAGCTTTATATGTTCCTGCAAATAAACCAAGATTAATTAGACCAGGCAACACTAACGCCTCCCCAGCTCCCTCTGCGGGCTGGCACTCGCTCCCAGCCTGTCATTTCCCACGTGAAAAAGGTTAATTCAGAATTAGTATCTCGTTATAATAAGCTTTCAGGGCCAAGTTAGCCCAACTGCAATGAACCCGTGATTTTAGGGGCCAGCTGCAGATCGTTCTCTTTGCTTCCTAATCACAAAGAAACCTCCCTCACATTCCACAGCTGCGACCTATATAAGGGATGGGGCTCAGGCACTCTTGTTTTTCCTTGACTATTTGAGGGGAGATATTTCCTTTTTTCATCAGCAGCCTTTAAGAGCATGGCGAGCACTTGGAGGATTTGTGTGTGTTTGTACTGCTGTTTGCCCTGGCTCTCTGCTGGCACCCAGTGCTCTCCCCGCTCCAGGGACCGGGGGGGCTCTGAGGAGCCCCCCGGCTTTTTGGCAGCTCCTGAGGATGCTGCCAGCGAGTTCAGCGCGGTGCTGGAGCCGCCCCAAAGCGGGGGAGCAGCCCATGCCCTCCTGCCCCCTCTGCTCAAGGTGCTGCACGGCCGCGGCTCCCGAGGCTGGCACAGCGAGGTGCCACGGCTGCAGCCGGACTCCAGGGCCCTTCGGTACATGAAGAGGCTGTACAGGATGTCTGCCACCAGGGAGGGCATCCCCAAGGCTCAGCGGGGCCGCCTCTATAACACGGTGCGGCTCTTCACCCCGTGCTGGGAATGCCAGCACGGCCACCTGGGGAAAGGTAGGTGTGCAATGCCTGGGCTGCGGAGGTTACTCGGGGTTTTTGTGTGTTCTGTGTGCCGGCAGCACGAGATAAAAATACTTCCTTTCTTTAAAGCTGCTGCTATTTTAGTCCTGGAGGCTCTTCTCCTAAACTGTGGGAGGTTTTTCATAGCCTACTTCTCCTTGAATGGCATTAGGCACAGACTTCACAGGCTGGGGAACACCAAGTGGTATGTACAAGGCATGCCGATGTTTCGGGCTGACTCATCTCCTCGTGAGTCAGAAAAAACCACAAGCAGATCTAAGTGAAATAAAAAAAAAGCGTAAAAAATGTTGAGGTATAATGGGCAGCACATTTCCTTCCACAGCACATCTTGGTGTTGCTTTTTTTCAAAAAAACCACAGCACTGGTATGAGACTTGTACCAAACTGCCAGAGACTACTCTCCTTAGCTGGTGCATTTGTTGGAGAAGAATCATGACCAAAACCTGAAGGGAAGAGTAGAATTATTTGCAAATCAGGCTCAGAACTGGGATAGCTGGGCACCCTGTAACTTATGGTGTTTCCACAGCTTTCTTTAATGTGGGCTGATTACAAGAGCACCTAGAAATGACTGGCTGTTAATCCTACTGAGGTGACCCGAGTTCTCTTGACTTAGATTTTTCACTAGACAGATAAACATAAGCATTGCACTGCTGCACAGGAACAGCCCTTTGAGGTGGAGTTCATGGTTTGTATCATCTGGAGTGTTTAGTTCCTGTTACCCCACACCAGCACTAAAGAGACAACAGCTGACTTCCTCCTGTGCTGGTTCTTTTAACTGTTAAAATCAGGGGTTTTCTTCAGTTTGTTTTAATTTCTTAATTTTTAACTCTTATGCCTCTGGCCAAAGTAGAAATTTCTCATAGTAAACGTAAGGGAGGGCATCTAAATTGATTTTTTTCTGCTGTGGAATGATTTGTACTTATCTACTACAGCAGTTTTTATGTCTAGGTGGAAAAATAAGACACACTAACACTACAGGAATCTGTTTCTCTTCCCAGGAGATGTTCACTCTGTGGATTTACTCTTCAACTTGGATCGTGTTACTACTCTGGAGCACTTACTCAAGTCTGTCTTGCTCTATTCCTTTGACACATCTGTTCCCATTTCCTCTTCCATTACCTGCATATGCCATTTATTCCTTAAGGAACATGATTTTTCCAGCCAAGTCTGTCCCAGCATTTCCCACTCTCTAGCTTTTAGCCTGCACTTTGACGTTAGGAAACGCAAATGGGTGGAAATGGATGTGACTTCTTTCCTCCAGCCTCTGATTGCTACGAACAGGAGGAATGTCCATATGGCTCTGAACTTCACTTGTGTGATGGGTGACCCACAACGGAGCACAAAAGTGGAAAATGCAATGAATGTGACACTGGTTCCCCCGTCCCTTCTGCTCTATCTGAACGACACCAGTGAGCAAGCTTATCACCGGGGGAGCTCACTCGGGCACGGCAGGAAAGGCAGCAGCCCGCTTGTGGATCCTCCAAAGGGTGGCCAAGGACAAGGCAACCCCCAGGGTAAAAGGGCCTCTCGCCAGAGAAGGAATGACAACCCGAAAGCGACCCCAACCACTTCACCTCACAACCTGAGCGAGTACCTGAAGCAGTTTGTGTTCCCTCAGCACGAGTGCAAGCTGCACAACTTCCGCCTGAGCTTCAGCCAGCTGCGCTGGGACCGCTGGATCATCGCCCCGCACAGGTACAGCCCCCAGTTCTGCCGGGGCGACTGTCCCCGAGCCCTGGGCCACCGCTACGGCTCCCCCGTGCACACCATGGTGCAGACGCTCATCTACGAGCGCCTGGACCCCTCTGTGCCGAGGCCGTCGTGTGTGCCGGCCGCCTACAGCCCGCTCAGCGTGCTCACCATCGAGCCCGACGGCTCCATCGCCTACAAGGAGTACGAGGACATGATCGCCACCAAGTGCACCTGTCGGTAGCGGGCACCCTGCTCCTCGGCGCTCCCAAACACTGCTTTTATTTTTGTGTTCTCGAGCAGCGTTGCTGTAACTCCAGGAGCACAGAAGGGGTTCACGTCACAGCACTGATTTTTTTTTTTTTTTTTTTTTGTACTCAGCCTTTCTAGAATGTGCAATTAAATGTAAATAGTGTCTTTTTATCGGGAGAATTTTTGCATTTAAAATGGAGGGAAGGTTTCAACTATTAAATGTCTATTTTTAAGCTGCTTTATTACAGATTAAAAAAGAGAAATAAATGGCTATCACACATACCCTGATATGCAGTGCCTGCTACTCTGCCTCTACAGAAACCTTGTGTGTGGCATCTCCAGCAATGACTAGGAAGAGAAGAAAGTCTTTAATGTTAGAATTATTTCTTCTTTTTCATTCTCTTTCCCTACCACATTCCAGCTCTTTCAAGCACGATGACAAAACCCTTCCTCACAGTTCTGTAAAGAGTTACCAGGTTGTTTTTGCTTTTTCTTTATTGCACTCTCGGGGCTTTCTCAGCTAAAATAAGGGTATGAATTTAAGGGCAGCTGTGGGTAATTTGTGAACACTTAAATCAAGGCTCTATTTTGGTAACAATTGGCATCAGGTGAAGCTTCCCTTGATTCAAGAACAAGGAGCAGCTGTCTATGGGGGTGAGGCCAGAGGATTTTCCACTGCAACCACACTGTCACTGGCATCTGAAGGAGGAAGAATTGTTTAAAAAGCTTAATCCCAAAAAATGGCTTCTAAAAGCCTTAAATGTGTTGATGTAAATGCTGTTTAATATTCTGAAATGTGGGGCCACAGCTTTGTTTCCTCTCACAATGAAAACTGTAGGTAACAAGTGCCTCAACTCTAGATGCTTTCACACCAAATTTTTACTGTAATTGATTTACTATGATTTATTTTCTCCTCCTAGACTTGGGGTTCTTACACAAAACCTCTCAGCTTCAGTGGGGATTTTTCTTGTCTGCGTGTTTGTTTGTTAATTAAAAGCTGTGGAGCAGCACTATCTTGTAAAACTTGTTCAGAACATCCTTTAACATTGCCTTGCTAATGGATTAATAAACAAATGCTGTAACTTCCTGCACTCAGCCACTCAACCAGCCCCTACCTTAAATCCTGAACAATTTCAAGGCTGGGAATTCAGCCTGGCAGGGCAGGGGCTGCCCCTGGGGAGCTGCTGTGTGCTGTCACTTTGGTTCACACGGTCACTCAAAGCAGAATCTTGGTGTCACATAAAACCGTGCTGGTCCCAGCACTGAGTTTGGGTTGTATCACTGCTGCTCATCCCTTCCAACTCTGGGAATTTGGCTTTGCTCACCTGCCAGAGAAGAGAAAAAAGGGAATTGTTTCCCGAGACAAATCCTTCTAATTATGGTGACATGTCTAATATAGTCCAATAATCCTCATATGTTCCATTAATGAGGATCATCTTTAACATGGTCTGATAATTCAAATAATAATATATTAAATATGTATAATATGCTGTAATGTTGAACGAATCTAATATATTCTCATTTTCCATTAATGAGGATCATCTTTAACATAGCTAATAATTCCAATAATGTTGAACTTATCTAATATATTCTAATAATAATTCCAACTATGCTGAAGATGTTTAACACATTCAAACAAATCTAATATATTGTAATATTAGTTTAAACAATGGCAAATATGTCTAGTATAGCATAATGATTCAAATAAAGTTGAAAATGGCTAATGCAGTCTAATAATTCTACTATAATTCAAATAATGGTGAAAATGTCTAATATTCTAACCATTCTCATCTATTCTAATGATAATTCAAATAATGTTAAATATACCTAATAATTCTAGTATCTTCTAATAATTACAATTAATGGAAGGTGATTAATTATAGTATAGTAATTCTAATAATCATCCATTAATGTAGAAGCTGATATATTATAATTCTAATATATTCTAATTATAATTGCAATAACAGTGAAGATCTCTAATATATTCTAATTATAATTTGAATAAGTTTGATGTCGCATATATGCTATAATTCAAATAATATTGAATATGTCTAATATAGTCTCATAATTATAATAGACTCTTAATAATTCCAGTAATACTGAAGATATCTAATACAGTCTAATAGTAATTTCGGTTATGTAGAAGATGTTTAATATATTCTAATAATAACTCCAATATTGCTTACTATGCTCATTGTGGGAGGGGGTGTGGTGGATATTTAACCTTTAAAAGCCTTTTCCATTTGAAACTATTCCATAATTCCACGATTTTCTGCTTCCGATATTCCTGATGTTCATTAGAACCCCACAATCGCCACACAAAAGTGGGGGTGTTTTTTCTCCATTATTTATTTTTCATCGGAACCCCACAATCTTCACACAACTGGGGTTTTTTTCTCCATTTTTTATTTTTCATGAGAACCCCACAATCGCCACAAAAAAAAAGTGTGTGGGGGGGGAGTTTCTCCATTATTTATTTTTCACTGGAACCCCACAATCGCCACACAAAAGTCGGGGCTTTTTTCCCCTATTATTTATTTTTCATCAGAACCCCACAATCGCCACAGAAGTGGGGCTTTTTCTCCATTATTTATTTTTTATCAGAACCCCACAATCGCCATAAAAGAGTGGGATTTTTTTCTCCATTTTTTTATTTTTAGCGCGTTTTCCGCTCTAAGGCGCCGCCCCTCGCTCCCCTCATGGCGCAGGCGCCTCGCGCCCCCCCCGTCCCCTCAGAGCAGGGCCCGTTTATGGCGCACGTCTTTTATCACAAATCGCCTGTTAAAACACGCTTTAATATAACTGTGATTTATCGCACGCACATTTCATCGCCTTCCCCGTTAATTACAAAGGGAAAGCGCAGCTCGCGGTGCCCCGGAAGGCGTCGCTGAGGCAGTTCCGGGGCGGGCGGCGGCCATTGCGCGGTGACCGAGGGGACACCGCGGTGACCATGGGCAAGCACTTCGGGAACCTGGCGCGGGTGCGCCATGTCATCACCTACAGCCTGTCCCCCTTCGAGCAGCAAGCCTTCCCCAATATCGTGTCCCACGGCGTCCCCAATGCGGGCCGCCGCTTCGCCTCCCAGGTGTTGAAGGTGGTGCCCCGTGAGTACAGGGGGGGATCTCATTTTTTTTTTGTAGCCCCTCCGTAGTGTAAGTTTGGGGAGGGGAGCATTGGGGTGTGTGTGTGGGGAATGTTTTGTCGCAGGAGGTAGGTGCTGTGCGCGGTGCAGTGTCCCCTCAGTGCGGTGTCCCCATGTTGTGAAATCCCCTTCTCCCGGTGTCCTCGTGTTGTGAAATCCCCTTATCCCAGTGTCCCCTCACTGCATCGTGTGCCACTTGATTGTGAATGTCCCCTTATTGCAGTGTCCCCTTACTTTGAAGGTCCCGTTATTGTCAGTGTCCCTTAGAGCGGTGTTCCCTCGTCCCACTGTTCCTTTAATGGAGAGTGTCCCTTTCTAGCAGTGTCCCCTCTGTCCGCTGTCCCCTGACCGTGCCTGTCCTCTGTCCCTGCCAGCCTTGGCCATCGGTTACCTTATTTATTCCTGGGGGACGCAGGAGTTTGAGCGGCTCAAGAGGAAGAACCCGGCTGATTACCAGCACGACCAGTGACCACCAGCACGAGCAGTGACCACGAGCAGTGACCACGAGGCTCTGGAGCTCCCTGGGGACCTGCTGTGCTTGTTCCCATGCCTGGAGGGGATTAACAGGGAGATAAGCCTTGGCTAATAAACTGTAACTTTGCCCCATGACTCTGTGTGAAATCCGTGTCTTGAGCTGCTTGAGGTGAGGAGCATCAAATCCCTTGTCTGGTTCTCTCTGTACAGGCAGATAATCAGGCTGAAGTTCCATGTGCTCGGATGTTTTTATCTTAGAGCACTTCCAGCTTTCATAATTCCTGTTGAAATATTCCTCAATATATAAAGTGCAGCAAGGGCTGGTTTGAAATTGTTCCTTGTCCCCTTTATTTTTCCCATCACTGGCCGCTGCTTTTCCTCCAGCCTTGAGATCTGTGAAATACAAACACTCCCTGCTTTGGTATTGATTACAGCTGGATGGGCTGGCTGGTGGCTTGGGATTTGGGATGGACCCTGACCTCTGGCCAGAGGCTCGTTCTTCATGGGAGCCCCGGGCAGAAGATGAACAGGTACAGGCTGCACCAGGAGAGGTTTCATCTCTGTGTAACAAAGGATTTTTTTCCAGTGGGAACAATCAGTCCCTGGAACAGCCTGGGCATTTCAGGAGGTGACTGGACAGGGTGCCAGGTAACCTCCTCTGGGCTCCCTTCCCACAAAATGCCTGCACCAGCTGATCTGCCAAGGTCCCTTCCAACTTGGGCTGTTCTCTGATCCTCTGATTCTAATTACCTAGTTATACAAATGTTAATTGGGTGATTAACTACACTCCGATATCTGATCAGTGGTACGAGGCTGCATTAGAACCTTCTTGAAAACTGCCGGGATAAGCAAGACTATTTAAGGCCTGAAGATGATTAAAAAATCAGCTGCTGGTAATAAAATTGCTTAAATATGTGACAAATTCACCCTGTGTCTCTGAGTATAGAAACACCTTCGCTGTTGGAAGCTCAGAACACGTGGCTGGTTCCCTTATCCTAATTTTTTCCTCCCAGTGTTCCACTGACTGCCTCCAGCTCCCATCTCATGCACCAACACACGTTGGTGTTCCTGCTGTGCTATTCCTGGAGCTGTCCTGGGGATTTATCTTATCTGCAGGGCAGGAATGACGTTTCCCTGTGTGAGTTTCCCTCGGTGTGCTCAGGGCTGGGCTGTCAGGAAGACAATGATGCTCAGGCTCTCACTTCAGGAAGCTGGACTGATGCAATTTTTATAGCTCAATGCTGGAGTGTTTTGGGGCTCAGACCACACGAGACTGAGCTCAGCCTCTTGTGTTTCCTCCAAGCACAGCCTGAGGTTGGAAGCAATAAAAGTGGCAATAAAATCAGTCAGCCAGTGCTCCCAAGTTGTGCCAAAAA